CGTGTGCAGCGGCAGGGCTTCATCCCAGAGGCTTTCCCAGAACGTGGGTGGAGGAGTGGCTCATCTCTCCCTTTCCCTGAAACCCGGCAGTCGCTGAATAGCTGCCATCACCCGCAGCAGACAATGAGCAAAGCAAGCCCTGGGCCAGCTGCAGCGCTGGGAGTGTGTGAGCAGAGGAACCACGGGGAGCTGGCTGGTGACCAGGAAGCAGCCCAGACTGCTGGTGTCATGGACCCCTTGATGACCACAAAGCGTCCGGGTCGTGCTTTGTCTTGCCCCAAGGGCCTGGCTTCCTGCAGCCGCGCCAGGTTTGCTCAGGGGTATCTCTGAAGCCAGCCTGGAGTGACAGGCCTCTCGGCATCACCTCCTCCCCAACCCAGCCAGCCTGCTGCATGCCCTCTGAGCAGGGACAGAGTCACTGCCAACACCTGCACGGTGCCACCAAGCTTTCTGAGCCGCTCATGACTTTGGTGGCACAAGCAAAGCCAACCCCTTTTCCGGGTATGGAGGCCCAGCACACCATTAGCAATTCTGGGGCCGGCACCTCCCACCCAGCCCTGCACCGTGTCCCTCATCCCTCGCTAGGGCTTGTTTTCCTACATGACATGCAGCAACTTCCCACACTTCCCTCACCTCTTCCTGACCAGCCTGGCCTTTGAACCAGCTGCCTCCAGCTGCCTGCATCCCGAGAGGAGACCTGGGGAACCGCCACAAATGAACAAGCCAACGAGTGAGGTTCCACATCCAGGCGAGGCATTTGGACACCAGCTTCCCATGCCTCTCCCAGGGGCCAGGAAGGGCGAGGGGCACTCCAGCCTGGCCTGTTTCCACAACGAGCTCTAGAAAAACCCTCCTGCTTCCCAGCCTTGGTCTCTATTTTTAAGGCTCCAAAAAGGAAAGGGGTGCCAATGGCAAGCTTGCTGGCAGGGGACGGTCCCTGGGCTGAATTCAGAACCGCCTACTCATTTCCCGTAGGGATCACGGACTGCGTTGGCACTGCAAGGGTCTGGCTATGGGCTCGGCCTGCCCGCAGGTGCTGCGCTGACGCGAGGATGAGCCAGCAGCCATTTTCCAGGCAGAGACAAGCACACGTACATGCTGGCTGCTGAGCAAGGAGCTGCATCAAATCCTTCACTAACCTGAGACACTGAATTCATGCTGTGACTCCCCATAGCAAGCCCTGCATTTGCTCTTGGCCACCCAGGCGGTTATGGCAGCCACACTTTCCTGAAGATGATCAGTTTAGGGGACAGTTGTTACCAGGGTCATCAGTGAAGACCAGCAGAGCACATGCCCTGGTACCTGCAGCGTCAGCCATGAATTTCAAGCATGCTAAAACTGCCGATGACTCAGGCAACGTGTGCGTGCGCCTCCAGACCCACAGAGCTGAGCCTTCCAGCTATTCATGTACCTGCTTTTGATCACCGGCTGTTTGTTTGAGGTTTTTTGTCTTCTTTCCCTGGAAACTCAAGTTTTAAACATGCATTCAGCACTCGATTCAGCCCATCATTTCCATCCCCTTCACTTACTAAGTGACCTACTTTCTCCCCTGTAGCATACAGAAAACACTGGTTTAGGCTCCCTTAACCCTTCAGCAGATTCACTCTTGCCCCCTTACAGCCCTCCTTCCACATCTGTGGCTGTAAGAGCTTTGGGCTTGTGTCGCCCCCTTCATTTTTGTCTCAGGCCTTGGAGTATGGACTTTCTGAAAAGCCATCACATCACACCAGAGATACCTCTGGTGCATCTCTCTCCTTAGACTGTGCTTTGTGTTCCCCCTACTCTTGCACACTAGTGCTCAGTGAGTGGCTCAGGCATTCAGCAATGACCCTGCACTGCTTTTTCCCACATCTCCTATCCAGACTTCTGTGCTGACAGCCTGCCCTGTTCCTGCTGGCTCCTTCCCTTTGCCTGTGCTGAGCATGAGCAGCTCACTCTGCTCACCCGGGTGTTGCAGACGAGTCCAATTACCAGAGTTCAGCAAACTCTGATTCCCCTCCCTGGCATTTCATCCAGCCCACTTATCCGCTGAGAGTTTCTAATCCAAACAGCCTCCCAGCACACGATGTTCCAGTGCTCCCAGGCTCTACCCAGCCTGTCCTGGCTTCTCCTTCCTCACACAAGCACTTGAGGGATGACATTCAGCCCCCAGGGATGCAGAATTCACTGTGTGGAGGGGAAACAGTGTCTCCAGCAGCCAGCCCTGACGGCACAGAGCAGGACACCGTCCTGGGCAGGCTGGCAGTTCTCTGAGTAGATGAGCCAGATTTTAGCTCCTCTGCAGGCCCAGGATACGTGCTGCCTTGCTCGGCCAGCCAGCTCATACCCTGCTCAGCTCTTTTGCCCACAGCAGCAGCACTGCCTGAAGTTGTGTCAGCCTCCTCGCCTGCTCACGCACCAGCTGGGAAGTTGCAGCAGCCAACCCTGCCCCAGGTGACCTGGATACCCAGGAAGGGAAGGGGAAGGGAAGGAGGGTCTGCTGTGCAGGAGGCAGCTGCCTGTGACCACAGCAGGATAGCGAGGTCCTGCTCTGTAAACACCTGGCAGCTGTGGACCACCAGGTGAGTGTCCTTCCAGCTGCCCGGAGATGCCCCCCACACACACGCACCCCTCACCACATTGCTTCTGCCACTGCAGTCAGCAAGGCAGTGAGATTTTAGCCAAGTACAGTAGGACACCAACATGCTCCTTTCCAACTGCTTTCCCCACATGCCCCACGCTCCCTGCACTGCCCTCACTGCCAGTCCTCTTTCCCACTCCCTCCTTTTCAGTTTTTCTGGGCACTCCTTGCCTAACTCACTGGGTCCTGGTGGCAGCTGCTGGCTAATGACAACCAGATGTCTTATAGCCACAGTCCCTCCAAGCAGCCAGAGCCTGGGGTTTCCCTTTCAGCCTTTCAGAGAGACGCAGGTTCTAGCTCAGGTCAGCTGCATGGGGCTAGTTGCTCCCGAAATCCCCATTCAGAGGCTTTCATTCATGAAATGCAAAGCAGGAGAGCAAGCACAGGACTCTGCCCCTCAAGGGACACCAGACTGCTGGCTGTCTTTGGCCGGCTGTGACAGCAGTGCCGGGCACAAAATGCTGTGGGGAACAGGGCAGGAACAGCACAAGTAGGGAAAGCCTCTGCAGCCTGGCAAGGCACTGAGAAGAAACTGTCCCGCAATAGTTGCTGGGACTGGAGCAGGGAATGTAAACATCCCAGCATCCACAAGGAGGTCATAACCTCAGAGTCCAGTTTCCCTTCCTCTCCTCCCTCCTGCCTAATCTCCAAGAGCTGCTCTATTTACTAGTGAGATAAGTAAACAAAAAAAGGAAAGCTCCAAAGTAATTTTTTTTTTTGGCCAATTCACTGCCTGTCCCTGTCCCAGGGTGCACGCGTGGGAGCGGTCTCAGGGGGCACACCATAGCACCAGCACGCATCAACGCATGGGCACAGCTAGCAGCAGATGCAGGCAGCTGATGGGCACTGGCAGCCCTCCCCTGCCTTGCCCACAACATAGCTGTGTGGAAGGGCAGAAGGGGGAACTGTGTTACCTTGCACAAACATGCAGCTGGATGGGCCTGGCATAGCCCTGCCTCAAATTTCTTTAAATGGAAGAAAACAGACCTCTCAAGCTAGGGAGAAGGGGTAGAGAAGGCAGTGGGGGACAAGAACGTGCCTGGTCAGCACAGCAGGGACCAGCGCAGCCAAGCCAACAGCAGGGGAAACCCTGTTATCCTCTAGTGACTCTCTTCAGGGGAAAAGGACGAGAAAAGCTCACAGAGAAGGGAAACTCTGACTTCCAGACCGGGCAGCAGCACCCTCCAAGCACATCCAGGCAAACCCAGATGTGTGGCGTTTTGCCAGGTATTCGAGGGATGCAGCAAGCTTCCTTCCCAAGGCTGGGAATTGCTCTGGCTTCCAGGCATGCAGGGGCACTTGGGAAAGCAGCAGGTAAAGAGAGGGGTCAAAGGACTCTCAGCCCAGCCCAGACTTTGGGTGAGAAATCACCTGTGATACATCCTCAACACCCAGTGCACAAACTGTTGGTATCTTGCTAAGGACCCAACAGTCCCTGAACGGCAGCCGGCTGTAGTGCAAGTCCTAAGAGAATCAGACAAGCACAAAAAAGATGTGATTAGCACCCAAGGCCCTACAGGCCCCTGCAGGAAGCACCCACTGAAAGCTTCCAGCATAAAACCAGTTTGCTTTGGTTTCCTAATCTAAAACAATAGGACACCGAGCAGAGCCACAGAATGAAGCAGTGCCGCAATGAGAATTACACCGTGGCTCCTGCCTGCTCCCTGGACACATTGATCCAGGAACTAGACACAAAGGAGCTACATTCCTGCCTTATCCAGGGCTGGTTCTGGCTCTGCCAGCAAGAACAATTGGACTGCCAGGAATTGTGCCTTTCCCACCCCATTTGCTTTGGCTCTTTGCATCTAGAACACGGCACCGTCCAAAGTAAATGCCTGCATATGGGCTCTCCCTGCTGCTTAGCACAGACCCGGCTCCCTCCCTCCTGCCCTGCAGCGCAGACGCTGTGATAAGAGACAGGAGCAAGGGGGGGAGCTGTGGGAGAGCAGTGGTGGGGGCGCCTGGAGACCGTCGGGGGAGCTGGGAGCCTCGCTAGCAGCTGCCGGCGGGCCTGGGTTCCTGCCGCACCGCAGCCCTTCGCAGCCTGCTGGGCTTATCGGTGTCATTGAGTGAGGAGTTACCCGCGTCAGCGGTGTCAGGCCCGGCGCTGACCATTCCGGCAGCAGGTGGTTTCCTCTTTCACTAAACTCACTGCTTACGGTCTTATGTAAGTTTTGAGTCCGTGTTGTGACCAAGTGATTCATACTATAGAAACCCCAGTGGACCAAAGTGCTTCGCAAGTGCCTTTCTGCTCACATCTCAGTACTTTTCCTCAGTGTCGCGTTATTAGTGCCAGAGCCAGGCTCTGACCGTAGGGCTGCTGTGGAGTGGGCGTGTTGCTTTGACGCTTGCATGGGTTTGCTCTGGGCAGCAATAACCAAGGCCCTCCTGTCTTTCAGGGGAGCTCATGGATCTGATCCGGACAGAGGGCCAGAGGATGACAGCAGCCCAGCCATCTGAGACAACTGTGGGCAACATGGTGCGGCGAGTGCTGAAGGTCATTCGGGAAGAGTATGGCAGGTGAAGTGCCCCTCTCTTGCTGCCTGTATCCCTCCTAAGAGCCTTGAGCAGCCTTCCCACACAGTGTGTTCTGCTGCCTCTCTGAGACCCCTTTAGTTTCCATCACCCCCTTTTTACCTCTCCTCTAGAAGGATTCAGCAAGTGTAACATCAAATGAAACCTGTCATTTTCAGATAGCTGATGACATTTCCTCTAGTGAAACTCTACATGACGTATGTGTTGTGGGTGCGTGAAAACAGTCTGTGCCCTGACCTCGGGCTGTTCTCTCCTTGTGTTCCCAGGAGGGACCGTCCTACTGGAGCAGTAGCCTTGAGCCTGCCTCTCATCTGTGGGCTGCAGCATTAGCACACAATTTAGGAAGGCAGTTCCCAGCAGAGCTTCGAGTGTCTTTCTGACAGACAACTAGGGAAGCTCTGTGGTGTGGTATGCCTCCTGCGTGTGGTTTTCCTTCCTCTCTGTTCTCATGCAGGTGTGCTGTGGGGATGGTACTCAGCCTGGCTGTGCCCCTGCACTCTCTCCTAAGGCTGAAGGGCTGCTTCTCTCTGCAGGCTTCATGGGCGCAGCGAGGAGAGCGACCAGCAAGAATCCCTGCACAAACTCCTGACTTCTGGAGGACTGAGCGAGGATTTCAGCACTCCTTATCCTCCCCTCAGAGCAAACGTTATTGAAGCTATTAACGAGCTGCTAATAGAGTTAGGTATGGATGGGTCTGAACTGCCCCATGAGTGCAGCTGCTTATGGGATGGGACAGATGCTTCCTTTTCCTCTTAGGGATGTGAAAGAAAACAGGGATCTGGGAGGCTTAATCTGAAGGAACTAAGGAACTGAAGTTCTGCTGCTCCCAGTAAGTCCTCTTTGGCTTACAGGGAGCTGGGTGGAATGAGGGGGCTATCTTAGTCTTCTGGAAAGTCTTGAGCCGAGTCCTCTGGAGAAGAGTATCAAAAATGTGCCACGGTTGGACTTAATCCCTATGCACATATAACCTGCCCCTTGTCACAAAGCGCTGTGATACATGTTCCTTTTTCTGCAGTCTTGTGACAGATCAGGCACCTGACTCTTCTTCTGAGGCCCAGGTTGCCCTGCTTCTCCTTTCCACGTGGTTCTAAGTGCTGCTGAACTGTGAAACCATTGAATTTCTGTCACTAGTTGTTGTTTGGGCATGATGGTCATCTGGAGTAGTGCTGACACAATCCACTCCTCTCATGATGGAATTTTCAATACAGCTATGCCTACGAATAGCTGGGGAGCACAGGGCCAGCTTCTTGGTCCCTCTCCACTGGTAAGAATGGGGAGAAAAGCTGCTCCTGCCTTACCAGTGCTCATAGCATTGCTTTAGTAAAAAACGATCTTGCTGGAGGACAGCCCTAGCAGCACCAATGTTGCTTTGTCTGGCAGCTTTTCCACCCATGGCTTCCTTCTGTTACAGAGGGCACCACTGATAACATTGCCATGCAGGCGCTGGAGCACATCCACTCCAATGAGGTGATCATGACCATTGGCTACTCGCGCACCGTTGAGGCCTTCCTGAAGGAAGCTGCCCGCAAGCGGAAGTTCCAGGTCATCGTGGCGGAGTGTGCACCGTTCTGCCAGGTGAGGCCGGGGCTGGCTGCCTTCTCCAGGCGCCGCACCATCCCGCGTGTTCTTACCAAACTCTCGTCTCTGGCGGCAAGCTGAACATACTGGAAATTCCTCTGCAGTGCAGAGACTGAAGACAGCTCATTATCCTACCTGACGTCCTTCAGTCAGAGGGCTGTATTTGTGCTCCATCATTTGGTATTTTTGTGGTTCAGACAAAAATTGAGTGCTAATATCTCTACAGATGCATTGCAGGATGTGTGTCCCAGGGGACCAATTGGATTCTTCCTCTTTTTAGGGTCATGAAATGGCTGTCCGACTATCTAAAGAGAACATTGAAACTACTGTCATGAGTGATGCAGCTATTTTTGCTGTCATGTCTCGAGTCAACAAGGTAAGGAGGGCTCTGCTGTAGGAGGGAGTTCATGGCAATTTGGAGCTTAGGCCTCCTAAACCAGCTGCAGGTCTGGGCAGTGATGGATGCGTTTCTTCACTGAAGACTCAAAATTGTAATAGTCCCTATTTACATCTAGGGTGAAGATTCAGTGTGGAACCCCAAGGTTCTGCAATACAGTGACTAACTGCACGGTGATAGGTTTTTTCCTGCCTTAGTGGCTAACAGGCAGAACAGTTACAAAAAACCAATACAGCAAAGCCTCATGTGATTAACTTCATGATTTTTAAAGATGATGGAAAAAAACCCAGCATTTCCAAAGGGGAGAAACAACCCTTGTGTGGAACACAAGATGGGTGGTGAAGGGAATCGTCAAGGTGTGTCTTCAAACAGACCTGTTATGTACTTATGTAGAGATGACGACTTGGCACCCCAAACTAAGAGAAAAAAAAAAAATCCAGCCACACCACTTTTTACCTATGTATTTTAAGCTGCTTTACATTATTCCCTTTTTACAGCAAGGGAATTGTTGCAGCCAGCAGTGTAGTTACTTGTACAAAGCTTACTTTGCAGGCTCGTAGAACAACAGGGAACACAGCCCAGTTTCTGTTTGGTGTTCCCTCCAGCAGAATATACATTTGTCCTCTGAAGTTCTCTGTGCTGGCCTTGCCATGCTGGAGTCATGCTCTTGTTAGAGAGGAACATCTCAGTGCAGAACCAATGCCAGATGAAACAGATCAGGCATCCAGCTGCCCTATAACTCGAGCCTTGCTCTGACAAACTCCTCCAGCTCATCTGGCAGGGTCCGAACCAGGAAGTGTTCCTTCCCCAGTTTGCTGTGGGACATGCCATCTAATGCTGATTTGCCTTTTAAGGTCATCATTGGTACCAAGACAATCCTGGCCAATGGCGCCCTGATTGCTGTGAGTGGGACTCACACTCTGGCACTGGCAGCTAAACACCACTCCACCCCGCTCATTGTCTGTGCCCCCATGTTCAAGCTTTCACCGCAGGTAAGTACAGCAGTGCTTCAGGACTGCACCTGCCCTACATATAGATGGGGGGTGACTTTAAGCTTGGGGTGGAGAGCACCCCCTTGCCCAGGGTGAGGTTGGTAAATGAGCCATCTCCCCCATCTAGCGCTGTTACTTCAGATAGGAGATCCGTGCACCGATGGCAGGCCTCAGGGTCTCCTTGAAGCACCCTCCTCTGCCACGTGTGCTGAGTAAGCAGTGCACTGGGCATAAGGATGTAGACAATTGCCTACTAGAGACTGACATCACCATACTGATTTTTCTTCAGCCACAGCAGATTTCAACTTAATCTTTAGTGTTGCAAGACCCTGTGTACTGACAGAAGAAGTAGATGGAGATACGCTAAACTGTTTCTTACACTCAGTACTTTTTCAGTATTGTCAAATGGAGTTGCAGACTGAGGAAGTCACTTCTTTGCTCCAGTTCTCTAGGCTTTGCAAAAGGACAGCCAGGACATAGGTGGCTCTAAAAGCTCTGAGAAGAAAACCTGTCACCTGTAGATGTTGCAGAGGTTCTAGGCACAAGCACTATTAAACAAATGTACTGTCATGCAGCAAGTCGTCTTCCTCTGCTTTAGTTCCTTACAGCACCCAGGATCTGTTTTCACTGGGATAACGAGGCAATCTCTTTTTTTCTGACGCTCCTGTACTCTTTCTCATTCAGTTCCCCAATGAGGAAGATTCATTCCACAAGTTTGTGTCACCACAGGAAGTGCTGCCATTCACAGAAGGTACTGGTTCTTCTTTATACAGGCTGGTCAAGTTCATTCAGGCTATAATATATTTTTTTTAAATAGTTCACAAAATTTAAACACAAGACTGTCCTGTAACCAATACAGAAAATACTATCCTGTTTTCTTAAACAGAAAGAAGTGCTGTGAAACATCCTATTTTATATGTAACGTATTACAGAATGTACCGAGAAAGGATTTCCTTTGAACACCATCTTTGCACTTTTGCTTCTACTCTGAAATAGTCAGTGTTTTATTGTAGGATTGTGATAATGGTGCCAGGCAGGTGGCAGTTTCCTGTGGGACAGAGCAGATGCCTGACAGGCGAGGGCAGCTCCCTTTCCTTCCTACAACTCATGTTAACTTCTTGAAACTGCGTTATGTGATCTGCTTGTTGAAATGCAGTATCTCTGCAATGGGTTTCCCACACAAGCACCATCTTTAGAAAGGCATCAGCTCCCAAGCCCCCTTTCAGGTAGCGAAGTCTCTTTGAAAGCCTCATTTCTATATGACAAAGACTTTTGAAATGAAGAGAACAGGTTTTTTGTTTTGGCCTTCTGAGCTTTTCTTTAAATAATAACTTTGGCAGCTCCAGGATTCTTGTATTATAATTACATGCTGGCAGGTTTTCTGGCAATCAGTAAATCTGTACTGGGGGGATCTGGGTTTTTTTTTTCAGTAAAAACTACCAGAAGAGTGCTGCCATTCATCCAAGATTGCTGTATACCTGTAATTCAATGACATCAGCAAGTAATTTGCAAAGTATTCAGGATGTTCCACTACTGACTTCAGGGTGGCATGTGTATTGCCAGTTTCTTCAGGGGCTTGGGAAGATGTGCAGAAGACTATATGTACTTTGAGTTGCCTTGTCTAATATTGCTGCTATTCACTTTACAGGGGAGATCCTGGCAAAGATCAACGTTCATTGCCCAGTGTTTGACTACGTCCCTCCAGAGCTCATTACTCTCTTCATTTCCAACATCGGGGGTAACGCGCCTTCCTACATCTACCGCCTCATGAGTGAGCTTTACCACCCAGATGACTATGAACTCTAATGCCATGAAGCACGTCACTCTGGACTTTTCCTGTCTTTCTCTTTAAAAAGATATGACAGCTAATTAAAGTGTGTGTTGGAAAGATGGGTTGCTGTGGGGAATCGGTGGGGGATTTGTTCAGCAATGTCCTTCCTACCCAAAAGCAGGAGATGGCAGAGCTCTTTTAGACCTTCTCATCCCTTTGCTGGAAGCCACATGGAGCTGCTAAGCCACTGCAGTGCTAGGGCCTGCCTGAATAATAGGCCCTGAAACAAAGTTGACCTCTAAATGAACCTCACAACCAAACATTATCCATTATTAATATCTGCTAATTAGCAAAATCTGTATTACCATTAGTGTTTATTAATTAGTATCTGGTCGTTAACAAAATATCTATGCTCACTAGTGAAAGATGTAGCTTAGGCAAAATGTAGTCAGTAGTGAGGATGAAATGTCATGAGAATGTGTATCCACCTTCCCTTGTTTAACCTTGTTGAAGGCTGAGAACCCAAGTGTTTGGCCTTGATAGAAACTCCCTTGGTTCTCCCCCCGAGCCCTGGCCAGGCTTTGGGTGGAATCCAACAGGAGGATGAAACCAGATGTTTCTGCTCAAAGAAAGGTGCAAGTCATTCTGACGTGCTGATTTTTGGTATATAAGGCTGGACTCTCTTGCTGCTGACTTTGGAAGCCTCACCTACAGGTGGACACATCACGTAGGACTTCCCACTTGCCGGGACAGGCTCTCCAAATCCTCGCTGCAACCGGGGCTCCCCAGCGACTGCGGGTCTGGGTGTTGGTAACGTGTGCAGGTGGTGAGGGATCTTTCTTAATCACTATTCTCCCCATCGTGTAGTAATGGTTAGGTGCATTACCTTGCTTGTTCTTATTTTCTATAATTAAGTGTACTATTCTGTATTTTTCTTATTGCTTATTTTCTGTATCACTTGGTTACATCCTTTAATTATTAACGGTAAAATAAGCCTACCCTTTTCACTCTGGTCTCTTGAGTTTAACTGGCACCCTTGATTAGCAGAACACCCACTTTGATTCTGAAACAGCAATGCATACATGTAACTGTCTGGGGCAGCTAAGCTGTTACTTCCATGTACGCTGCAATAAAGGCTGTTTACTGTGGATACACTGTTAAGCATGTTTCCCACACACAGTTATTTTGTTTCTTTAACTAGCAGGAGTTTTACCAATGTAGTGAGTTGCCTGCACCTATGACGCACTAGTGAGCTTTAAGGTATGCTTTCACATATGAATATGATAGGAATCCATTGGCAATTGTCTTCAGTGAATTTTTTTGGTAGAATTTTCTCACAATTTTTGTTGAGTTGCTGAAATACAAACTAGCTCTTTGTACAGTGCTAGAACGGAAATTCCATTTTTGATGAAAGGCAGACCTTCAGAAGTCCCATCAGCTAGCTTGTCCACGTCTCTGTCAGAAGGCAGAGCTCAAGCTCTTGCTTTGCTTATTGTAATCTGAGGGTGTTTTCTGTGCTGAGTGACTGATTATTCTTCCTGGGTAGATGTCTCATTTGGAAAGTTCCTGATTTTTGTGAGGGGCAGTGTGAAACATCTTAAAAATCTGACTCTTGCAGGTCAGTCAGATCACCTTTCCTTGGTTCCTTTTATCAATGTATGGCAATACACTACACCACAGTTAAAGCATCAATGAAAGTAGTTTCTGCTCCTCGTTTTGCTTTTGATTCAGCAGATGTCAGTATCTCTGATATGGTTTTAAGTTTAAGCTGACACCATCTTTTACTGTTCTGAAATAAACTCTACCTTAGACTGAGACACAAAATAGAACCGGACCATGTAAAAAAAGTTCACCTATTACAAAAAATGCTGTGGGCTCTAGTTATTTCTGTGGGGGTACGTTTCTGTACCCTGAGAACATGGGTCTATCCTAGGATTTAGAAATCTCTCAAGAATGCAAACTGCAGGGAGCTGGAGAATACAGCCAGGTGTGTCATCCATTGTCTAGTTAAATAAAAAGAATGGGTTTTGATCCTAAGTTGACCTATATATACTATGAAGCTGGTCAGTCCTCATTCCAACCACTGCCATAAGCCCAAGGAAAGGGTTTAGTGTAATTTTATTAATAAATACCTCCTCATTTTTCAAAGCACTACAAAATACATTAACATAAATAGATCTATTATGCAGAATAATGCTCTGCTTGCAGAGAAAAAGCACTTTAGTAACTGTGAGTGCCTACAACTTCTTGCCTCCGATGGTCAAGCACTGACAGAAGGCCCAGGCTTGCAATGTAATTCCTTGATGTTGAAGACACTTCAGGCTGCAAGGATGGGCTCCTGCCATGTTCTCCTGGCCGGTCTCTGCTTCTCAGGTCAGTACTGGGAGCAGAACTGCAGTGACTGCACTGGCTCAGAGACTCTGCTCCATGCAGGGTGTTGTCTTAACAACAGGGGGACCTGGATCATACCAGCACTTCTAGTCCAAGTTGCAACTTAGTTTTAACTTTTTTTGATTAGGGTCTTTTTTTGCCAAATAGGTGCCATGCTCGTGCCATCTTCCGCAGTCTAGCCAAATTAGGTTTAGGCTGAAGAGAGAAAAATTAAGAAGCGCTACATCATAGCTAAGTAAATGAGCTTCAATGCCTCCATACTCTGCCCTAATACAGTCATTCCCAGGTTTTTTTGATATCTAATTCAAAGTCCCACCTGACTTTCAACAGAATCCAATTTCATAACTTAATATAGCACAGTAATAGCAAAAGGGAAGGAGTAATGATTTTTTTTAAAATTTAAATGTTGCTATTTCTTTGCTTTTTTCCCTCCCATTTTCTAGCATCTTAAACTTCAGGGAAGGAGGCGTTTGTTTAATTAGCATCTTTGCCCCTAGCAGAATATCAGAATTTACATGTTTTCCAAGTTTCACACTTAAAAACTACAAACACTTTATATTATATGCTTAACTTTAAGGACTAGTGGATACCATTCAAGTCAATGTGACCATTCAAATGACATATGGCAAGATCTTTGATAAAGTGTTTGCAGGACAAAGGTTTAACGTTCTGAAGTTTTATTTTATTGGTAACCGCTATGTAAAAATTCAAGTAAGATACAGCCAGTGGTGATGGTTTCAAACTGGCCCATTCTAATTCTAACACACACGTACATGAAATGCCTCTGACACTCCAGAGTGAATTCCCAGAGGCATGTCTGTGTCCCATACAGTACCTGCTTTTCCTGCTGTAGATGGTCTATGTCTGCAAGAGGCATCATGGAAGGTCTTCCATGAGCACACTGGAAGGGCAGCTGACAAGATGACAAAGCTTCAATAAGTCTGCAGCTTTCCTCCAAAGTCAAATGCTCATTAAACTTAATAGCTCCTGAAAAAAAAAAAAAAGATACAAGCTCTTGTACATGCTGCCAAAAAGAATTCAAACCACTCAGCAGACTTCCCTCCACAGCTGTAGTTTTCACAGAAAACAAGGCAGCTCACAAAGATTAGCTGGGAGGCTGCAAAGGTAACCCAAAGGCTCCAGTATGGCAGATTTAGGGCTTAGCTCAGTTAACCAAGCTGCTACATAAGGATCAGCTTTCCATGGCCTAAACTTTCACCTCTACCATCTGGTGAATGGTAAGATTATTAGTTTATGGCTTTTCAGATGACATTGCAAGAGGCAAATGGACTTTTTTTTGCTTTTATTGTGTGTGTGTATGTTACAGCTGAAGATGCAACCAGTTCACAAATCAAGAAGTATTAAACCAAGATGACAGCTAGTATTAGTTTCATAGGTTTTATGAGTGCTATGTGCCTGTCACTGACAGGCATCAGTTCCAAGACCACATGCTAGGCCTGCCACTAAGTCCTTTCTCACAAATGAGCACTTAATGGCATCCAGAGGAAATCCAAGCAGAACATTAGGGAGTCACTTCAGAGGTGTTTGCAATCTTTAGTCTTCACAGATGCACAAGACCATGTGCAATCTGCCTTTCAGCCATAGGACTTTTTTAGATATAAAAAAATATATATAATCTGCCATTTGTAGAATGCAGTGACACGCTGAAAATAGATGCTTTTGGTTCACATTTACCTTTTCAGCGTAATCTTGCCAATAATGTACATGGGAGAGGAACTGCCACAAGAGGGTAGAGCTGCTGTAGTCTACACCTGTAAAGTCTGCTCATTTCCAGGTGCTGGAAAGCCATAGTCCCTTAGAAGATGTAAATTCTTACTGCACTCCTTCCAAAGATACTTGAAAGGTCACAGGCACACTTAAACTATCACTTTTGATACTTATATGAAATAAATGCTTTTTGGGAAGACTAAGTCGTCTTTCCTGCTTGCTTTCAAGCAGATTCCAGTACCTCCTCTTGTTCTTTCACAGAGCTGTTATTTGAATGGTTTAGAGCTCACATGGATGAGTGCATCTCAGAATTGTATTTTACCTGTGTTTCTTGTGAGGGTTGGAAAGTATGTTAGGCCCATACATGAATAAATCAGAGCAGTTTGCTTGACCCTCACAGTGGTGTCCATGAAGAACATTATCTCATCTCTATGAAACACAGTCTGTAATCCTGGAATTCCTGCAAACACATTCTGAACTCTGAATTCAAACACACTGCCCCAGGGAGGATGTTGTATAGACAGAAAGGTTAAAAAAAAAAAAAAAAGCAAAGCACAGTTTCCCTACCATGACAGGCCTGGGAAGCTAACACCTTCAGAAACGTCAGAGGCAGTGTCCCTCGTGCTCCTCCTCCTGTGGTCTGCACTAGCTAAAAGTAGTAAGTGAACATCATCTTACTTTCCATTTAATATGAGAAAAAGAAAGAACTGTAACACAAAGGAAACTAAAAATGAGGAAAATCTAGTGGATTATCTAGTCCACCTCTCTCATTTGAGGTTTAACACACTTACTCATGCAGTAAGCTTTGCATTATTCGAGTCAACTTTAGAAGCAGACAGCAACTCACCTCAACTTGTTCTTGAATAAGCTCCTGGAAAGAAAGAGGTAGTATCATCAGTTGCAATTTCTCCCTTTCATTACCCAACCCTGCTTTGTCCACATCTGTCTGTGATTTACTGTGTAACTGCCAGAACCAGGAAAAATTATGCTGTTGCCAGTACACTGACCACAGTGTGGAAGAACTAGGTACAAGTCCTGACCTCTCACAAACATCTTATCAGACTTTAGACTAATCACTTGGTTTCTCTCTGCATCAGTTTCCTATCTGTATAACGGGTATAATGGAACTCTTATACCTCAGAGTGCAATAAATGTGTGTTATCTTTGAACAGCTGCCCTTTCTTCTTTGGATAATAGTCCATGTGGATTTAATTTCCAATGTCTAAAATGTAATGAATTCATAATCAAACGTGAATAGGTGCTACTAGTCCTAATTAAAGTAAAAAGGACTGCAGAGTACATCTGCCAAAATGCTCATGAGATCTTGAGTGTCAGCTAAGAATGAGGCACAGACCTGATCTCCTCCTCTGCCACTTTTAGTGCTCTTGGCTCCAAAATCACACCAGGAAAGTGCAGTTTGAGTTATTCCCGATTATAGCAAGGTTGGAAAAGAAAATTTTATCCCATAAATCACCTTCTCTATTTCTTCTTTTCGTATTAAAAGAGATGTAGAGCAAGACCGGACTGATTCACAATGACTCAGCCTAGTGGCTGAATATGGTACTCCAGAATCAATTTTTAAGGAGTCCTTGAAGCAGTTATGATTGTGGAGAACTGCTTACAATGGAAACTGCAAGTAATCAGTTCAACAATTTCTTCCTCAAACTGCAGAACATCTGGAAGAGCAGCTTTTAGAAAGCTGCACTGTCCACGTAGAGATTTAATGAAAACAACTTTAAATCCTAACAACTATTTCTGTATCAGAATTATTAATAATTTTACTGTTCATTCAAGCATTCATGAGCAATAAACTGTTGAAATATCTGTACTATAGACTATTTTTCTTAGCTTCTCTGCTAGTCCAAGTCTGAAACAGTTTCCTATCATT